GGTCTCCCAATCAACCAGCTTCTCAGAGTCTCTATACTCCTACCAAACACTCTCACCAAGGTGGCACTTAAATCCGCGACTATGGAACGCGTGAAGAGAATCTGAATAACGTTGAACTAGTTCTACCACACGGACGGTACACTTTCGATATGAAGGGGCTGATACAAGGAGGAACTCTCTCGCCAGTTCTTTGCTCGTTGGCCCTCGGGACAACGGACCCTCTCGCAGACGCCCCGCTGTTCACCGCAAGGCTAGTGGATGACGGCTTGCTGGTTGGTATGGAAGAGCAGGTGTCGAAATCATTAGAAGTTGTGAAATGCACGTAAGAGAAATCCAACCGATTCCTCGCTGTTGCTGCAGAGTTCTCACGTGTTTTCTCATTGAGTCGTTGTCGATTTTCAGTTGGTCTACTGCACATAAGACGGCCTCGACTGGTAGCGGTGGCGACGTTCAATGGGCAGGCTTCATCGTCAGTCCCAACGGTCGCTGGTTGAACTTTTCTTGCCGTCCTGAGTCTTCCGGTGCATCTTGTCGGGCTGGGGATGCGACCAAGTCGGTGACATCGTGGGTAGAGCGTTCTCTCAAGCGATCCCTTGGACATCGTATGACTACGACACTCATGAGTCGAACATTGAATGAGAAGTCCACCATCCGAGGGAACATGCGAGCTGCTATGAGGATGGCTTCTACCAAGCTGAGATCGACAATTGCTCGAAGGCGGAAGATTCACAAGATTCGCACGCCGTTGAATCAGATTGACGAGGCCGAAGCTCGACTCAAGTTTTACATCGAGCAAAGAATGCTGAGCCGTCAAAGACTTTCTTGAGGTGGAAGTGTTGGTTTGGTATAAAGACAATCGTGAGTAGATCATTGTGTGGGCGCACGCTGATTCTAAGTCGCTGTTCTAGGTGGAACTATCGTGTAAAATCAGCCATGCATTAGGAACGATCGGCCAGTGAGCAGTGATACTGTAACAGTAGATCCGTTTTGCGAGTAATGCGAATTAATTAACGCGGTACATCAGCGCGCAAGTGGTACATAGCAAGCAATACAAGCGGATCATCGAGCGCAAAATTATTCCGGCGACATATTACTATGATGTACCTTAACACACTGAAGACGACAATGATCCACTTCAGAAGGGACGTTGAAGGCTTCGTAGGTGTAGTGTGTGGGACTCGCTCTCCTCATGCGTACAGCCCGCGAATATGCGTAGTGCGTTAGAGAGACAGTAGTTAGACTTGTGTACGCATTGTTAGTCGATACATGCGCCGGTTCCGCTACCTATCTGTCGCTATCGTAAGCATGTTCTCCCGGAATGAACTCTGTACTGTATTGAGCTGTTTGGGGTATCAGATTATTACTAGTTGAACATCGATTAATTGAAGTACTAATCGACGTTTCGATCACTACAATCATCTACGTCCACATCTGGCATCATGTTCGTGTGCGCAGTTCGATCGTCACGCAATGGTCCGACTGATTGTGTGAGATAGACGATGATGAACAGTGCCGTCACATATCACGACTTGTACTACGGAGAGCCTGTAGCACCAGCGATACAATTCCCGCTGTTCTCTCCAGTGCAAACAAAAACTCGTCAAGTCGACTCGTGACATCCTGCCGACCCCGTTAGTGCCCGTTCGACAGCTATCCTCACACAACTGAGGATTGCACGTCGAAGATGGGTCCAATCAGAAACCACCACGCGGTAAAGGCCGAGTCGGAAATTGGAATCGAGGGGCTCGCCAGCAACCAATAGGGAAAAGAACCAAAGTGTCGTTGATGACCACAATAGCAGCTAGGATCGATAGCCGTTCACCAAATCCAACGAACCATCCGAACTGTACCGCTCGGGATATGTAGCTTGGCAGGCGAGCACGTAGAACACCAGTATTTGCACCACTCTACGCTATGCCAGATTCATTCAGGGTAACAATTATGTTGACCGTGGGCAGCACAAGACAACATGACTAGTTATGTTGGGAGGCAGTTGATTATCTCCCTCAAAAGCGCAAAATGAGAGTGGATTGAGTCTCGTCGGACTGAAGCTGGGTCGTTTAAGGCACACGGAACGATCCGGCCGCACATAATCCACGAACAGATGTATATACGTGTAGTCTCCACGACAAATAATACGACCAGAGCGGAGTTCTTATCGCGTTATACAGCGTCTGACTAGGAGGGGAAGAGACGATTGACGCAGTGTCGGGGTTGGCTATTGCCCACATACGTAGTCGGCAGGCGATATCCCCGACCACTTACCCCATCCGTAATTCACTCTGAATAGGTCGGTTTCATGCGCCATGTACAACATAACTCCGAGTTGAACTCAAGCCCTCAAAATTGCTGGTAAATCCAGAGCTGGCAGTGATGAACTTTCGAAAATGAAAGGGTAGATCATTGCAGAGCCGAGTAAGACTCAAATGGGAATCATCGCCGTTACGACGCTCGATGAAGGAATATTAATGTACAACGAGTCGCTGCTGCCTGCCAGGCTGATATCGAGTTGCCTTTCTGGCGTCTCTTGGTTGATTTTATAGTTCATCGCCTGAGGGTGGAAGGGACGGGTTAACTATGGCCGCATATTCGACGACAGATCCCAGTTGCCAACCCCAGTGGACAGAACACTCACCACGAGTATGATATTGGACTCATCTGGAGTGACGAAAGCCGAACACACCAGACCATCCCCGCTGCTGTCCATAGTTATTCCGATCCGCCGCGAGCCAGGGACCACAAACCGCGATATATGAGAGAAGGTGTAATACGACCGATAAACCTAACGCGATGATCAATAACCTAGTCGTTGAGACTGGTACTGCTAACTCACAAGTAGATCACTGTTGTTGGTGACGTGAATGTGGGTGTAGCACCAATTTTTCAACCTCGAGTGGTTCGGTCCGCCAGCGCCCTACACCAAATGACTGTCCATGTAACACGGCAGAACTACCCACGTTCTCAACAATATTGAGAAGTATGGACCAGTCCATCCAGCCCACCACTCCAGCGTTCAGATCCCCCAGAATGTCTTCAACCTGAATACAAGGTCAACAGACCAAATCAACGGCCACAGTCGCCCTTTGGTCAAGCTAACTTCACGCCATTAACACTGCTGCAACTGCGTCTCACATGTTTCTAATATCATGTCTCATACTATGTGACCGTATGTGTTTGAATACGTTAGGCTCGGTGGGCACCCTACATATCTCATCGCCCTCTTCCATTCGGTATCGTACTCCTGATCCAGAATCCCATCACAGCTGCCTACAGGAAACACCAACTGGCCTCAAGACTTGGGATGATGCGCCTGTTGCTCACATCCTTCGGTCGCCAGCTGGTAGTACTGAGACCCGTACTTCTCCTGGAAGGTACGCACATTATCGAAGAAGTAACCATCATACCAGTGTAGAGCTATACCAGAAATGTATCTGATTCTTGACAATTGAATAAAGCGTGGCATGCAGAATGCGCCATAGGAATATCCACCACCTAGTGACACATGTGATCACCTGGAGTCACCAAACCTTACTTAGCTGCATTAGGGTTGGACAATACCACATTCGCCCAGTTGTTCATACCACCCTTGTTATAGTCATAAAATAGCAGACTAATGTTGTGACCATCTCTCTCCATCACCTACAATCACCATCGGCCATGCCGCGGCGGCACCGTGGGAGATCCTACAGGCCCCAGGTGGTTAGCAATGAAGTCGGCTTCCCCTTGAGCATCGAAGAAACACTGTTCCCACCATACGTTGATATAGTTCCTAACACAGCAGCCATCCAGCCAGATGAGCCCACAACATGCTCAACTCACGCAGGTTCATTCTGAACAGTGTGGTAGGTGAAGTTGATGCCTTGCTTCGCATACCCTTGAAACTAAGTGGAAACCAGTGGCCCTGTGAAATCGTCGTCGAGATGTTCTTGAGACTACCCATAGAGAGCGGTATTCTGCCCAAGCTCTGTGGTAGCGCTGATCCCCCTTCAAGCACGGCATTTCGCTGCCTATCATCTCGTGATTGTCTGTCTTCATCCAGTACGGCGGGGACCACGGGCTCGCTGAAAAGAAAGTCGATTACTTCCTTGAGCTCAACACATTGCATACCGAGCAGTTGAAGACCACTAGCGTCCTTGGTTCGCGATTGAGCATCGTGGATCATAGCAAACATTCCAAGTTCCTCGTCCATCTTCAGGTCTCGGTCGAATTCGGTCAGGTCAAAATCGTCGGAAATGTTATCAAAATTGTACCTGAGATTTTGCATACCCCCATTTTGCGCTACCAGTAAACCAAGAATTAACAATCCCATTCGCTTACGTTTCAGGAGAGAAGTCGCAGGAGTTGATGGGTACTCTGCCTAAACTATAGTGTAACCCCTCTGGAGAGAAAACTCTGAAAACCGATAGTAGTAATGAGTATAAGCAACCCGAGCAACCTTACAGTTTCATGAACTG